GTTCGTCTGCGCTCTCGCCGAGATGGTGCCCTTCATCACGTTTGGAGGGGTTCCCTTCCCAACACCATCTAGTTGGCACGACATCCACGAACAGGAAATGGGTGTGGCCGAGTCCGACTAACTTCGCGAGCTTGTCCATGGATAGTACTGGCTAACGCAATAATTCGAGCCTATCTAGCGTTCCCTGAAAGCGGTCAGGAAATCCGAGTTGCGGAGGTGTGGCGAGAGCGACGTCGGAAAAGGCCACTTAGGTGAATCATTAAGCCGCCGCGCACCCGGTGACTCAGAGTATGAGCGCTGCTGCAACTCGGACATTCCTGTTCACAACTTTCCAAAAGACCAAACTCACTTCCGTCGGCGTTTCTTCTCGTCGCACTTCGGAGCCACTTTCTCGATATCGGCCTTTGATTCGCTCGATGGCGCTCAACGATGGTGCCTTCTGAAGCGCCGTGCCATGCTCGCTTGACTTTGGAAGCACACCGACCTGTTTCTCGCGTAGGATATCGGTATACCTGCAAATATGGTGGATATTCAAATGGGAGTCAACGAAAACTTTGAGAATCTCGACGTCTGCTCGGGTGTTGTTCGGCTTGGGGGGGGGGAACATTTTGCACTTTGGCTATCTCTTTTTGTTGCTTCATGTTATCTAACTGATCTTACTTTGGTCAGAGCTCTAAACTAATTGTGAAGCTGCAAAATTGTACAGATGGCCCACTTCTCTCCTAGGAATTTCCCGGTGTTCACATGGTGACCTATATAAGTTTCGCTGAGTACCGTTTGGTGCCCCCACCAAGTCGACCGCGCCACCGGTTCGTCTAAAAGCCTGTTTGTCTAGACGTCGGTGTGAAACTAAGAGAAAAGTGATAAGATTGCTGAGGTGGGGAGGTAGTCGGCAGTAAGAGTAAGCCACAGCCTTTTTCGTTTGTCTGCATCCTCCCAACAGAAAATGCATGTTCAGAGGCCTTCACTCCACCTGCCTTGGCCTTAGAGGGCATAAATGAGAAGAAGAAATGTGCTAAACTAGTTGGGTAGGGCGACGATGGACCCAGCTCCGTCCACCATCCCCCTTCCCAACTAATTCAGCATCCAGAAAAAAAATAATCTGTAAGGTACCTTCGTCGTTCCCTGACGGTAATGTCCTGATTTCGGACACCGAGGAAACCCTGTTTGACCAATGGAGCTCCATCACCGAACAAATTACGCCGGTAATCGCGTACACGGCTGTTGAACGATGGACCTTGGGTGGCCATCAAATACGTGTCGGGACCAATCTGAACGATACTTTTGGTGCCCTGATGACTTGCCTAGGGAACGAAGCTTTTACGACATATTGCCACTGCAAAACAAATGGCCGCTGGAAGCAACAACAGTGCGCGCGGTCGCAGAGCGTCCACTCTGAAGTGTCTTCTGAGACGCAACATTTGCGATTGCCCACACAATGAAAGTTGTGTGAGTGTAGTTTAAGAGAGTGAGTTGCAGCAATACGTAGAAATGACGGTCCAGAGCGGGAAGGGCGTGGCCGCGCACTGTTTGAACGTGGCGGCGGAGCGTTCGTGCTGGGAAAGTTTCGTTTTGCAACAATTGCAGCCATAATTTGACCAACACGGGCAAGGATAACACATATTTCGGACAGAAATATCCTTCAAAAAACGGGTCTCACGCTATGTCCAGTGAAGTGCGCGGCCACGCCCTCTCCATCTCCACGATATGGAGTGTAACTGG